TGATGATCTCTATTCCACAGACCCTCGACCTCAGCTCGCCCTGTACGTAGCTGAGGTTATGGTAGAAGGCCCGCACCATAAGCTCTGAATACGGACATAGGGTCTCGGCCAACACCCTCAGATGTGCCGCCTCCAACACCCCCACAATTTCAAATCCCTCCTTATCAAAAAAGGCTGTATCCAAAGATTTTGGAGCACATAACGGCCGGTTCAAATGGTCATGTACGAATGAAGCGTGGACGGCAGGTTCGTCCTCAAACAGATACCTATACGGGAGGTCAACAGTATCAGGCTCTTCGTCTTGTCGCCTTGACGAAGAAGGCCGCTCTTGCCTATGCTTGGTGCGTCTCTCAAGTGACTCATTGCCCTCATCGCTTGGTCTTCTGCGGCTCGTCATTTGTTTAGGGTACCTACAATGAAACATGTCAGCATTTAACTATATGAAACATGTCATGATGGTAATGAAAACTTGCAACATAAGGGCCGTAAACCAAAAGCAAACTTTTGCCACATACAAACTTTTCAAACAAAAAAATTCACACAATGCAAAAAAATAAACCTTAGTAGATTAGGGTTACAAAACCTACAACAAACGCTTTGATTAGAGTTCACAAATTCGGACAACAAACAAATAAAAAAAAAATCCTAAACCTAAAACACAATGCAAGTTAAGAAACCTTACCCCACCTTCAGATTTCACGATTTGGACCAAATTTGGGGGCAATCCACACGCCTAAGGGAAGGGTTTGGGGCGTTCTTCAGCTGCTCCTGCGGATTTGGGGTTTGGGCCGCCTCCTTAGTCGATTAGGTCATCCTACTCCCCCTCTGCCGAATGGGGGGTTTTTAAAAAACAAATATGTCGTTGTTTAGTCGACTAAATATCGTTACTTAGTCGACTAAATATCCCAAAAATGTAGTCGATTAAGATGATTTTTTAGTCGACTAAATTTGCAGTAGTCCACTTTCTGAAGATTGACCATTTGCTCGACTAAAACAGCAAGGTAGTCGACTAAAAGGGGGCAGGTTGGTGGATAGTTCTTGATCAGGGGCAAATTGGTTATTAATTAATTAATGAGGGGCAAAAGGGTCAAAAAGCCTATAATCAATTACTACAAAGAAAAAATTTAGTAACATAAAAAGTACATTTCCTCTTTTTTTTTTTTTGATATATACATTTCCTCTCTTTAAATGAAGAGAAGAATGATAAAAAAAGTTCTAGGAAGAAGCTGTCACCTTGTAAAAGAGACAGGTGATAATTAGAATGAATTGTAGGCACTGTTAAGACATGCATTGCAGGCACTACATCTGAACCTCTTATCAGGTTGTAAAATATCCTACTGGTCATTTTCTTTTTCTTAATTTTTTTTCTCTCAAAATAATCACATTAGTCCAATTAATCCGGAGATTAGTTAATCACTTACCCTCAAAGCTTTCTTCCTTTTTTCTTGGCCTCTGTATTTAAAGTTTAATTTAACAAATGGTGGAGCCCCACCATTCAATGAGAAAAATAAAAGCAAAAAATAAAAATAAAAATAAAAGAAAAAAACTTTGGTTCATAATAAAAAAATAACTAGGTGTTTGGCCTTGTTTGGTTTAATGCTTGTCAAAAGAACAAATTTAAGGAGGACTGTCCTTCTCATGTCATAGACATGTCCAGCTAAAATATTATGCTTTGCTAGCTTTGCTTCAATCATCATGAAAGAGAATGTGTGCAAAAGATAGTAAATAGTTGCAAAACGACCACTTACTGTGTGATGCCAATCTCAAAAAGAATTTGGGAAACTTCAATTCAAACAACCTATTAGCCTACGACAACACTACACCTCAAGATTCCATTCTCAAGATTTAAGTGCCCTACTTCTTGATCTTTCTTTATTATTTACTAAAGGGTCCTTCCTAAGGAAAATTGTAGCTAGATACCCTATATGTGATAACTTACTTAAATCTGTCATCTTCTTCTTTGTCATCATTGGCTCTCTAAGAATGAAGAAACGTTACTCTCATTTAGAAAGAATAAAGGGATAGAGACCTCTTAATCATCTATCATTAAACTTTTAATCTAAGATTTGCAAAAAAGGAAAAGCAGGATCATTATGCTAAAGAAGTTGGAAACGTAAAGTTAAAGAAATGTTTGTCCAAAGATGAATATGATAGGTATCATAATTTTTGGAAAAGAGAATGATTAAAGTACATCCAACTGAATAAACAGAAAAGCAATAAGCAATGGGGCTGAGTGGTGGTACGTATTTTATATCAAAACTTCTTCAACATCCATTGTTTAAAGGAGAAAAGTAACTCTCTGGATTTTATTTACATTCTAAGTCCCTTGCTAGCTACTAGCTATGTGCATGATAGGACTAGGAGTCAAGTAATGAGAAATAATGGTCCAACTTTATGTTATATGAGAGGAAACTTTAACGTTGATTGAAGCGAACAAACAAGTGACTTAAAAAATCGCTCCTCATTAAACCTTGATTAGCGAAGGTGGGATAAGGACAATTACTTTACACAGTCTTACCTTTTCATAATTATAAAGAAGTTATTTCTTACCTTCGAAACCTGTAATCTTTCAGTTACAAAAGAACAACTTTACCATAACTCAGACAAAAAATGAGTGCTTACAACATAAAAAAAAAGAAAGATTACCTCATTAATTTAAAAAAAAAAAAATATTAAAGAATTTGATCAGGTAATTGATACATCAACTTGATATATCGTAGTGACCATAATGATAATTGGAGGCAAATATGGTCATGTTTAAGTAATTAACATGTTGAATTAGCAGGTGAGAGGGGGTAAATAGATTCTCATTTGTTAATTTATGTATCAGACAAAAACTAAATGACAGATAGGTCTGTGATATGCAATCATCAAAGGGTGATTGAAGCCCACAAGAGGCAAAAAGAGAAAGCAAGTGGGCCATTTCAGTGTTTTTTCCTTAGTTTTTTTCTTTTGAAATGAGGAGGAGTATGGTGGAGATAAAAACTAAGAAATGGGGGAACGGCGAGACCTTGGGAAATCTTACAATAATAGAGTCACTTTACATTGCACTTGATTTGACCACACAGACACCAAACAGATATTCTTATATAATCCGTTGGCATTTATCAATCAAATGCACAAAGCTATTGGATGAATTTTAGTGACCGAAAAACACAGGTTGTTATTCCATGTGACCTTGTTTGGTGTTTTAGTATGAAAAATGAAGGATGATGGAAAGGGAAAAAGACGAGTGAAGTCAATGATTAACATATGTTGGCCCTATAATCATCAAATTGGTTTTATACTTTGCATTGCAAGATGATAAACGGATCAGATTCAACATAGAAGTTAGATTATAAATATCTTCTACTTGGTGCTGCTTGTGGACAGTCTTTTTTTATTTGTCAAAACAGCAAAATTCAACCAAACCCCAGGATGAATTTGTAAGTAAAATAAATTGGGATCATATGAATATTAGAATACTAGTTATAAGATTACTTGTAGAAGATTCTTAATTTAAGGAATTGTCGCTCTTGATTAATTGATCTGCAAAGTTTGAAAAGATTAGAGCTTCATATGCAACTCATATCCCCTCTTTTCATAACTCTTGATAGGGCAAGCTATGGACCAACTGTTTGTGCTCGTATTTGAATGCAGATAAAATTTAGTCCTTTATTTTAACCTTAGTACCTTTTCATCATGGACATATGAACTGAATTTACACTGTTACTCATATTAACGAGTGTTACATATATTTAAGTCCACATAAAAGCATCACTCCATTTTTTTTTTTTTTTTTGAATTACAAAGCATCACTCCATTAATTAGGCCTATATAATACATCCACATATAAATACATTTTTTACTAGCACTGGACGAACACTGCAATGTCAGCGTCACCAGGGAGACATAGTAAAAGGTTCTCATACCATTTGATAAGAACCTTGAAATATATAACTCTAAAACCTAGCTTAAAGGGTGAGAGTATACAAAGTCTTATAAATCCCACATTAGTTATATGAAGATTAGTTGTCCACGCAATTAACGTGGAGCTCTAAGTCGTATACCTTTCAAATGGGTGCCAAGAGTAGGTAGGCCAAATTGTTAGATAGAACAAACTGGTCTACATGTATATATGTCTGTCCTATGGCTTAAATACATACAAGGCAGGGAATGGGACCAGTCGTTTTCATGAATCCTGACCAAGCAAGCTTCTGCACAAAAGATCACTGCAATCAGATGGCTACAAGCATCTACAATTCTGTCTCATTGTCAAAGGACATTTTGGTTATTGGTCTGATCGACCGCAACTGGTCATGGAGGCAGAAGAGGTGCAAGATGGGACCCTACCATTGCACCTTCTATCCATCTTCATGTGAATCATACAGTTTTAGCCAGCTCATTTATTGTCACAACTCACAACTTCTCACTAGTCTAATCTGACTCAAGCAAAGTAATGCTTTTGGATTTTCCTCTTAAGGGTGTCAATGGCTTTGTTAGGAATGGAAGAAGTATTTGAGATATTAAATCATGGTAGCCCAGCATTGTTTTTCTTATGCTTTTATTAATCATACCATAATTTACATACATATCCATTTTGCATTGTACTAAAATTGAAGTTAATTACGTAGAATGGAATGACAAGGATGAACTATATCTATCATATAAAAGACGGTAGCATCAAAGTTTTGAGTAGAGTTTATACATGATGGGAAGATCATATAGGCCTGAGAAGTTGACCAGACAGATTTCATTTCGTAAAAGAACTAATGTGGAGATTCCAAGGTGGAAAGTGCCGGGTTTGGCGGATCCTGTCCTTTGAGAGAAGCCACACATGGAGGAGGTAGCATCCGAAGCTTTCTAGTTCTAAATCAGATTCTTAATTTCATTAAAAATCTAATATAGTTTTCTTTTGGAGATTAACAAAGAGATTAAATGAAAAGAAACTACACTCATAAATTAAGAGAAATAAATATTGGGGAAAGTTTAATTCAAGTAGTACAGCTAAATGTCCCCATCTCACTATTCATCTTGCCCCTTCTAATTTCGATTTTTCCCAATCACTCACTACTTTCCTTAAAGAGAAAGGAAGACGTTAAGATGAAAATGGGAGTACTATCATAGAGATTAATGCACAAAACTTTGAAAAGAGAACAAAAAAATACTAGTTGTAAATCCCAACACAATGATAATGTTGAAGAAGCCTATTAGCTTCCCTAAGACCACTGAAGTAAGCTCCATGAGTTGTAGAATAATGAGTTCTGTGAGTTGCTTCCCCTGCAAACAAAATTTGAAGTGGAGATGAAGCAGAAGATTGACAACTGTTATCTTTTGGCAATGGCTCTGCCATTGTATCTAAATCATCACCACTTGATCCTACTGCAACATAACTGTATGAGCCTAAAAATAAAGGATCAGTTCCCCACTTGCTCTTCAAGACTTTACTGAATTTGACTTCATTATCATGAGTTCTCTCTTCAGATTTTACATTCCCATTGCACAATTTATGTGAACTGGAATCATTTTGCCACTGTGAATATGATAGAAAGCTTGAGACTGTTGATGAAACCCCATTTATGATCTCTTCATCTTTGAGTGACTCAAGTGCTAGTGCTTCTTCCCCGGCAAACCAAGATAGTAGGACACTAGAATTGTTGTAGATGGGAAAAAGGGTAGCAGTTCTCCTCATCCACCATGGTATTTTCATGAACCTCATTTCAGATCGAGGTGAATGAAAAGCCATTTGAAGGAATGGGAACCCTTTGGAGTGTTCATGTTTTCCACCTTGTGTTGGACTCAATTGCATAAACAACTTATTAACAACACCAAAACCAAGCCTTGAAATTGCCTCGGCCTTTGAAGGGGGAAGAGGAGGACAGAACATACCTGAATCATCACGAATAGCAGCTTTCAACACTCCTAGTGAAACCGTGACAATGACATGATCAGCAGACATAACTGAGCCATCACAGAAATGTAGCTTAACAGGCCTAGAAAAACAACCATTTCCCATACTAATACTCTCCTCATCTCTATGGGGCTCCCATTCAATTCTTGTGACTTTTCTACCTAACTGAACTAAACCAGGTGGTAACACAGAAGCTAAGGATTCAATTATGCTCAAGTACCCTTTAGCAATTGTGATTTCTTCACCTGGAAACATTATGTACTCACTCTCAGCACTATAATCTAGACTCAACAAGTCACCAGCTGATGTATAAGTCCTCTGGATGTTCTCATGCATTGCAAAGATTGCTTCTTCAAGTAACTTCCTGCTCCAGTTCCCATACCCTTTGAGCTCCTCTTTCTCCTTCACTGAACCCCAGTAAGCATCAAGGCCTTGTCTCAAAAAAGAACCAACACTAAGGTTCCCAGAGCCAACTTTGGAATCTTGAGCAGCTTTAGCAGCCAGCATATAATAACTTTCAAGTTCACCTTTTGCAGTGACATCTGTTAGCTTCCCCTGAGAGTAATCCATCAAGTTTTTGAAAAGCTTTGTGATAGGGTCAACAATAGAAGGGTGTACCTGGAAGCCACCTTCAGATATGGTGGTAGGCTCATCTGAGTTCCCATCCATGCACTCCCAAGGTTGCTCAGAGTGCAGTGAATGGTTTTCTTGAGCAATTTTGTGAATTGGGCTGCCTCCAATTCCATGAATCCAAGTAGCACCCATCTCAATCCGGTCACCACCAAACTCTGAAGTGTTGATTCTGCCACCAATCCTTGTTCCACCTTCTACAACACATAGCTCAAACAAGTCCTTGGAAGCAGTTGCAGTGTAGAGCTTGTTTGCAGCTGTGAGACCTGCCATTCCTGCTCCAATTATCACAATACGTGGTTTCTTTACCACCATATTTGCTAGCTTAGATTAGATAGCTTAGCTACTATGCTTATCACAACAAGCAAAGCAGAACAACAAAACAATCACACACGGGGAGAAAAAAACACAGAGAGAGTGTTACAACACAAGTGGTGTGAACTGTGAAGGTGAGATTTGAGTTACTGACAATGAATTTATAAATGGTTGCACTTTTTTTTTTTCTTTTTTTTTGGAGGGTGTAGTGAGGGCAATCACTAACTTACTCTTTTTATGTAAATAACTATTTCTATACTGATTAAAAAGAAAACACAATTCAAATTCACATACACATAAACGGGTAAATCTAAATATATAAAACAAAGACTAAATTTTTCAAAGATTTCATTCATGTCTCTAAATAGTAAAAATCTTATGTAATTGCAAGATAAGTGACATAACCACTTAATTCAGGGACCCTTTTATTTTATTTTATTCATATTGTCGTAGTTTACTAATCTCTAATAAAGACAGGGCTCTACTTTTTTCCTTTAGCTGTTTATTACAAGTTACAACTACAACTACAAGCAAATGGTTCAAATTCAAACCAACTAACTCAAGATTCACTTCAAAATTGCTATTGTTGCCTCTCTTCAACCATACCCCACTGTCATAAATGCCCACGAGTGAGTAATAATTCACTTACAGTCACTGACCACCTAGCTATATGCCTAATGACTATAAGTCTATATAACCTATGTCCAGTTTACCACTGGGGCAAAAAAAAAAAACAAAACAAGTTACATTATGACAAGAAAAAAAATATGAAAAATAAAACCAAATAAAAAAAAATTAAAGAAAAGGTTGACAGTGCCTTTCACCAACCTCACATGTAAATTGAGTTAGGAACGACCCACCAACTGAACAAGTCAATGGTCCTGATCAGCCGATAGGCTGTCCTTGGATCAGTCGTAACGAGGAGACCGTACAAATCTAACAATTATAATCAAATTGCTGCACACTACACTCCCATCCTTGGCCTTTTTACCATATTTAATGTTAAAAGGAAAACTTTTCCTTTATTAATTCAAAAGTTAATACATCATTCTTATACTGCAAAGCTCATTATACTAGGAAATAATTATTTCATATGTTTTATGAGATAATTATTTTATGTTACATGATATAATTATCTCATGCAACAGAGACAAAATAGGATTTATTATTTTATTTTATTTTTATGAAAAAGTAATAGACCCTATAATTTTATCTCTGTTTCATATAACATGAGATTAATAGATCTCTTATACAATATACCTATTATGTATCGTGTTCAGCAAGATGCATATCACCCCATACATATTAAGTCACGCACATCTCATACATATACGAGTAAATATCATTTTTGGTCCTCAGCAAATTTCACGATGCGTTTTAGTCCCTAGCAAATTGTGGTCTCTAAAAAATTCAAAATATACCTATTTAGTTGAAATCGTGGTACCTCATAAATTCAAAAAAGACTCATATTAGTCTTCAAAAGAACTAAAATGGGTTCATTTTAAATTTTTTAAGAACCACGATGGACCTTTTTATTTGCTAGGGACTAAAATGGATATCGTGAAATCTGCTGAGTACCAAAAAGATATTTACTCTACATATATCTTGCAGAAAACAATGTGGTTGAATTTTGCACAAATTTCGTATGAGATAATACGTGCGGAATGTGTCAAACATATGTTGGGTTTTGTATGGCTTGAATACTTGAATGTGCATATTATATATCTATTCGCATTAGATGATAAATTATTTTTTCAAAGAATTAAATGAATAAAATATTTCTGATTTTACATTATAGAGATAAAAAGCCATTCCTTTGAGAAACTTTAGGTATAGAAGAATTGAATTTATAAGTCTTATACCATAATATAATTTTTTTGAGCCAGGTTTAAGAGTCTTACGACAAAAGGTCTTGTATTAATATGAGACTAATTTTGAGGCTAGCGGTGTAAAGATTCCCACGTATCATAAAAGTTGATATTATACTTGAATCAACACTCTCAGGACATAATAAAATTTAATTTTTAATACATAAGAAGATGGGATTTTGTTAGCATTATATAGGGCCTAGAAAAACAAAATATTAAAGATATTGAACCAAATATCTAAGCAAGCATCTTTGGTATTTGTGGTCAACGGGTTGCAGACTTTACAAATGTTACTGCAGTACTATGACCCATCTTTGTTACTGCTTATTTATCGATTCTTTTGTCATTGCATCAAATAAAAACAAATCCCTTTTCACAGATTATTGTATCATGAACTTTCGTCTCGATCTTCATAGAAGGCAGTGAGGATACGTAAGTATCATAGAGAGAAAAGCTTGGAGACTACCCCATCTCTTTTTTTTTACCCTTGTTTACTTAACTAATTAATGTAGTGTACTTCTTAGGGGCAAGTGAACCATATAAAAATCATAACCAATCATATAAGGACAAATGCGCAATAAAATCAGTGGCATATAGAGTTCATCGTGCACAGTAACTCTACATTATTGAGTCAGATTCTTGCCAAAAACTTTTTGTTAATTAGATATAACGCACCATTATCAAAGTCTAATTAATCCCAAGTCAAAATCACATACACCCCCCATATATCATTCCACATCGTATGTCGTGAAAAATTTTCTTGAGCACTGAAAGGTATCACGTGTCTACTCTAGTGAAGGTTTACTTGCAAAATAATTGGAAGCTTAGAACACAATATTTTCTCCGTTAAACATTTTTATTATAATGTAAAAAAAAAAAAAAAAAAAAAACCCATACTTATTATTTGTTACTTCTTAGATTAAAGATAACCTGGTCACTATAATTTGGGCAAAACTTGTTAGCAAGCAACATGACTAACTTGTTAACAATTACACAAGTGAATAACTTCATCTTCATTTCGGCTTTTTGCTCTTCTGATACAAAATTCAAGACATATTAGAGGTTTAATTGTTTTGACAAATTATTTATCAATTTTAATACGAATGAAACACGTATTGAAAAAATATGCATTTAAGTCGTGCATTATCTTTATATGCGACTTATGTATAAATCAAAATACATTTGTCATGTATCATACTTTGCAAGATGCATATGAAATATGAAATGCATGTGCAATTTAAATGCCCACCATCATAATACAAGTCTTGGATTGAGCTGATTTTTGCTACTTAAATTTTCATATTCTTTATATGTATTTTACTCATATTAAATTAGTAAATAATCTGACATCAGGTTATATGTTTGTATTTTTACATAGGAAAATCATTTTCTCCTGCTATTAGAGAAAATGATCCATTCCTACACATACAATCATAAATGAGTCTCACTTTAGATTTTTTTTCTCTCACTTTTGATTTTTCTCTTTTCTATTCTCTTGTATCAGCCACATGAGAGTAGTTTTCTTCAATAAAAGGAGAAAACTAAACCCCTTTTACATAACCACCTTCATTTCGTATAAACGGTGATATGTTTGTATTTTTGCATAACATGGGTCAAAAAGCACCTTCATTTCTTGTAAACCATTGCTGGTCAATATATTCTCAATGTGGTGATAATCAGTCTCTGGTAGAAATATCAGAAAAGGTAATGACATCAAGTATCTTACAAGAATTTTGAAATTTGACCTATTTACAATCCTTGGCTGAGTTTTACTTTCGTTGAGTAAGAGACAAATGATTGAGACCCATATCTCACCCAATGTGACAGGGAGGGATTCATCTGAAGATGATTGTGTTGGAATGGGTACAAAAGGGGTAAAGGATTGGAATCATAACTCAATTTTTGTTGGGTCTTACTTTGCTGTGTCTTACATCACCAATTTAACTTTACACATCATGGTCGTCAAATCCAAAACAAATGCCATAAGCAGTTCAGCAATTCCCCTTCCTTATCTTTTTGGGTAATTTCAGTGTCCTTTCCTTTGTAAGTAAATTTGCACCCTTTTTTTCTTTTACAAATTTTATATATGAATTAATATATTACAAAAATTTAAGAGATAAATCTAATGATGTGGGTTAAAATTAAAATTAAAAGCAAAATACATAGGAGAAAACACTCATGAATGGAGGAGTGATGTGAGGTTTTGGCGTTTAGAGAAGCAAACCACATAGGCATAGGATTCTTGAGCCACAAACTCCCCCCTTAGCTGCTTTTGGAGTTTAGTGGAATACATATCCAAGTTTTTTGGCTTTTTTACTCTTATAACCCTTTATTATTAATTAATTACCAATTTGACCTTGATTATATACTATTTCAAAAATTTAACCCTCTCAAAAAACATAACACCAATCTGCCCATGTTTGACCGTTGACCACCAAGCCTACCCGGGTACACCCCTCTGTACTCGGGTATTTTTTGAAAAATTTTGTCTACCCGGGTAGGGAGGCGTGTACCCGGGTATTGTTCTTCGCACCTGAGAAATTGCTTGAATTATTTACCCGGGTAGAGAGGGGTGTACCCGGGTAAATCTTCGACCACCCGGGTATGATTACTCTTTGGATCTCCCATGCACTCTTCTTCTCCAAGCTTTGAATATGGAGGCACCCACTATCACATGCTCCGCCTCTGCAACTTTTTTGGGTCCGTAAAGCACACAAATATTTTTCAATGATTATTTTAGAAAGGGAATTCTCAGTTAACACTATAAAAGTAGACCCCATCATAATCGATACGAACAGGGACCGCTTTGATGAGCAGTAAAGTGTTGATGTATGGAAATTCCAAATCCATTCTCAAAGCTAAAAGCTCTTCAAATTGGTTAGGCATGCTTAACTTGATAATACTGATCTATCTCATTAGCTGTAAAAAAGAGAGAAAAAAAAATTACCATGAAACAATTAATTACACATCCGCAAATATAATTAACTTGTGGTAAAATCAAATAAATCATATCTGTTCTTATATCCATCAGCTACAAGTTGCCCCAGTTATAGCAAGTACCAAATGGGTGGTCGAAGATTTACCCGGGTACACCCCTCCCTACCCGGGTAAATAATTCAAGCAATTTCTCAGGTA